AGGAGAGAAGTGGACGGACGAGTGGGAGGGGGACGAGCGAGAAAGTTGGACAAGGAGAGAGACGCCATACGAGAAAGAAAACCAATGAGATTATGAAAGATAACGAATAACCGACAGAAATATTAGGCCTTAAGCGACTTCGCGTCAAATAGGAGGTTATGACGGTTCTAGATCTAAGAACAACAAAAAGTGAAAATATGCAGTAAGAGACGAAGATTAGGACCTAAGAAAGGCAAGGAAAAAAGGTGAAGTCGTTACAAACGGCCTCTACCCTTAACTTAAACAATCCGCATCTCTTCTAAACAACTAAGAGACGAGACTAGGAGATGTTAGTCTAGGTTTTAATATTCTAACTTAGTTCTACTAGAAAGCTTAAAAATTTTCTCACCTTAGATTGGTAGGTGGAGCGTGACTAGCGGGAGAATGTCTAAGAAACCTAGCGCAGCGAGAGGAGAGAGAAAGAAACCGTCAAAACCTTATTTGTTTTGTCAACGCAAAGAGAGAAATTACCAACAGTGTCGTAGCGCAGTTGTTTTCAATTCGATTTGGATCAGAAAGGTTGCGGGTTCGAGTCCTGCAAGCCAACTATTGAGCTTTTGCAAACCTCTACCAGAAACACTAAAGTCATACTCGATACTAGAAGTTGCACAAATCTTTACAGATATAGTAAGAGAAAACGAAATTCAAACATTTACATTAATTGTTGCACAAAATGCATTTCTTCTGCGAAACGCTTCGCAACCCTAAGACGATTTCGTCGCCTCTTGTTTTTTTTTCAAGGCCCTGAGAAAGGTTCTGTTATATTGCTCCCCCTTAACCTTTGCCTACAATAAAAATAACCTTTATGTCACTCTTAGACTAGTGTCAACGCATCTTAGAAGAATATCTTGCACTGAAAAAACAAAAGTACATAGAGAGCCTTGCAAAGCAGATCTCCAACAGTAATACAGTAACATGCTTGCATACAACACACACGAAACAGGTGGTGGTACAATGTAAAGCATCGACTGACGGCGCCTCAGCTTGCAACTGTTGCTCCTCTGCTTCACCACTGAAAATTAGGGAAGACAGGAAGAAAATTAGGGAAGACAGGAAGATAGAATTGCATGAAGAAACATGGGGGAGGTGGTGTGAGGTGCAACGGAACAATGGCAAGGGAATACAAGCAAGCGCACATGATGAAAGCATGTTTGGTGAAATAGATGGATGCACACGCATGGGAACAACAGGGCAGAAGGTGAGGAGTGAGGGGGAAGGGGAGGGCATGAAAAGGAAGGGATGGGGAAGGGAAGGTTTGAGAAGGGATGGGGAAGGGAAGGACAGGGCAGGGAGGAAAGGCAGGGATGGGGAGGGCAGGTGGGTGGAGTCTGGGGGAGAAGGCAGGTGATATGTTATGAGGATGGTGGGGGAGGAGGTGAGTTGCATGAGAAAGGATGGGAAGGAATGAGAGAGGGTGGGAAGAAATCCGTTAGGGTGGCAACGAAAGAGTGAGGGTGGGAAGGAATGAGTGAGTGAGGGAAGGAATGGGGGGAAGCAGGGAAGGGGATGGGGGGAAGCATTGCAGGGGATGGGGGGAATCAGGGGAGGTGATGGGGGTAACCAGGCCAGGGGATGCGGGGAAGCAGGGGAGGGGACGAAGGGAAAGCAAGGGAAGGGGATGGGGGGAAGCACTGGCATGTTGAAATGCACATGGTGTGGGGAAGTCGTGGGCAGCAGGTGGCTGGCACAAGAGCGGGCAGCATTGCGGCAGGGAGGGGCGTTTGCACGATAGAGAGGCGCTCATCACTTGTGCCCGGGGAACTTAGTTGTCGAAGAAATTGATCATGCGCGTGTTCCTGCACGCTGAGTAGAGATCGCCGTTGGCGACGACGGGGCGTAAGTTGGCATTATCAGTGATCAAACCACTACTCCAACATGCTCCGCGCCACGTGCACCTTCTGTCACACCTGCGCGCAGATGAGAAGGGAAGGTGGGCAGGTGGTAAGGTGGGCCAGGATGAAGGAAGCAGAACAGAGGGTGGGGAGACGCAAGGGCAGAGGGTGGGGGGCGGCAGGGCAGAGAATGGACGGAAGGCAGGGCAGAGGATGAGGGGAAGGGAGCGAAGGGGATGGGGTGAAGGCAGGGCAGAGACTGATGTGAAGCAGGGCAGGGGTAGGGAGGAAGCAGTGCAGAGGGTGGGGAAAAGCAGGTTCAGTGAAACGGTTAACACAGAGACAGGGAACAGGGAGAAGGGGACAGGGAGAAAGGGGGAAGCAGGGAAGGGGATGGGGGGAAGCAGGGAAGGGGATGGGGGGAAGCAGGGAAGGGGATGGGGGGAAGCAGGGAACGGGATGGGGGGAAGCAGGGGAAGGGGATTGGGGGAAGGAGGGAACGGGATGGGGGGAAGCAGGGGAAGGGGATTGGGGGAAGCAGGGAACGGGATGGGGGGAAGCAGAGAAAGGGATGGGGGGAAGCAGGGAAGGGGATACGGGGAAACAGGGTAGGGAATGGGGGGAAGCAGGGAAGGGGATTGGTGGAAGCAGGGAAGGGGATGGGGGGAAGCAGGGAAGGGGATACGGGGAAATAGGGTACCGGATGGGGGGAAGCAAGGAACGGGATGGGGGGAAGCAGGGAAGGGGATGGGGGGAAGCAGGGAAGGGGATGGGGGGAAGCAGGGAAGCGGAAGGGGGGAAGCAGGGAAGGGGATGGGGGGAAGCAGGGAAGGGGATGGGGGGAAGCAGGGAAGGGGATGGGGGGAAGCAGGGAAGGCGTGGCCGGAAGGGGAAAATGGGAGGCGGGACTGGGAGTTCGCGCGGCCTGTGCAGCGGAGGTCTGGCGGCGCACTTTTGCAATTCGGGAGGCGGAGAGGGGAGCCGGCTGGCGGGAATGGAAGCTAGGCTGGCGGAAGGGGAAGATACTCTGGCGGAAAGGGAAGATAGGCTAGCGGAAAGGGAAGATAGGCTGGCGGACTGGCGGAAAGGGGAATTTCCCTGGCGGAATGGGGATTTCGGCTGGCGGAAATAGGAGATCGGCTTGTTTCGAGCTTAGCCCGTAGGTTGATGCAAGGCACGGCATTTCTGGTCGAAATTAACCGACATGAGGCGCGCCATTCCGCATTTGGCGACGACGACGCGCGGGCGCGTACGATTCGGCATCTCGCTTCAACAACGCTAGCAGGGGAAGCGGGGCGCACGCTATGGAACCAAGCTATGCGCATGGTTTCAGCATCCTCGTCATAGCGACGAGAGGCCGTGAGGATAGGACGAAGTGCCTGTGTCACGTTTGACGCTGGAATATATCCAGGGAAAATAAGATGCTGAAACGAGACTTAGCCGCTAGAGAAATCGGTGTGTTCCTCCGCCTACAACCTGTCCAGGTTTGCAGTCTCATATTTTTCCAGGTCTGTAATACTCTCGGTTCTGGGCTGTGTGTCGCTTTCTCAGTCCGTCGCACACGCAGTTGCCTGTTTCTCGCAAAACCTGGCTTGGTTGTCCAGCACCTGCACCTACCAAACTGTTTGGTTTGCAGCCAGTCGCACCTGTGCCAAACCAAACACAAGTGTTTTGCGAGTGATTGTTTGGTTACCTGGTTTCAAGCGTATTACCTTTGGTTGGAAACAAGAAATATGAGACGCGGGTTTTAAACAACAAAGTTTTCACTCGATGCAGCAGCTGTACTAGACTAGAACACAAGGAATCATGCGACCATGGCCAGGGTGAAATCGTAAGTCTCAGCTTGAGTTACGCAGTCTTATCTTGCTCTCATTGTGCTTCTCTGGAGTCACGGCGTAGGGACGGGACGACGAACACGAGTTGTGAGGTCGGGCTCAAGGGCTTGACTTGGGGCGGGTCAGACTAGATCCACTTTCGGTTCAGAGTATTCGGTGGAAAACGATGCTGTGCATTCTCGAGCGGTTGGCCTTCTTCACCACTTTAAACCGCTTTTCACCAGTCTGAACAATGATGCTAACTGAAAGGACCACATTTGGATGTCTTCTCTGCAAGGAATGCCAGCCAATCAAGTCCATGCAGTACTGATTCCCCGCCAAGAAAATCTATCAGTATGGTTCTCTGTATCTTCAGCACGGTATTTTGGTTGTTCGGAGGTTAGTGCAACGAATGCCAGCCAATGAAACCCATGCAGGCAGTTTGGATTCCCCGCCAACCAATCTGTCAGTACGGTTGTCTGTGTTTTCCGCATGGTAATCTGGTGTTGGAAGGTTTTGGTGCGTTGATTGTAGTTACGCAGCTTTCGTTAGTCTTCGCGAATACCTGTCGCTCTGGACCAACGAAATCAGAGTTGAAGCGAATTGTCCCCTAACACAAGTACAGTACCGAGCGGAAATTCAGCCATTCGCGCAGGCTTATCTACTTCACGTGAATCGCGTGAAGACAGCATTATAGAATATAAATCCCAGCGTGAAGGTAGCGTGAAGGCAGCGTGAAGACAGCGTCAAGGCAGCGTCAAGGCAGCGTCAAGGCAGCGTCAGAACGTAAATCTCAGCGTGAAGGCAACGTTAGAAACGCTTGAGCAATAGTCTTAGAGGTGGACATACCTGGACTAGACACACGCTTTACCATTTCTTTGGTCAGTTCCTGAGTAGCCCTAGCTCGAATCCTTTCAATTTATTCCTTGCTCCACCGTAGGGACTGTTTTCTCAGCGTCAAGCTTGTGTATTACGGTTCGTCCGCCGAGAACATCGCGAGCAACACTCCTGCAGGAGCGGTTACCTTTTCGATATCTTTTTGTCCACATAATCTCTGCGATGCCACGTCTCAATCACGACCTAACATTCAATAATCGTATGAGAGCCGATGCTCGATTTTTCGCCGACTGTTCTTTCATTTTCTTTCTTGCGGTTCCTTGAGCACAGACGCTAAGCACAATGTCAGATTGCTGGAATGCGACCGTGCGATCATCAATGCGGCCGTGCGATCATCAATGCGACCGTGCGATCATCAATGCGACCGTGCGATCATCAATGCGACCGTGCGATCATCATCGTGACCGTGCGATCATCAATGCGACCGTGCGATCATCAATGCGACCGTGCGATCATCAATGCGACCGTGCGATCATCAATGCGACCGTGCGATCATCAATGCGACCGTGCGATCATCATCGCGACCGTTATCCTTCCACCTCTTGGAACCTTCGTGAAGAAAAAGGTGGACACGAATGCTGGGTACGGAAATCCCCTTTTTGCGCGCTGAGGTTCTCGGATGCATGTGTAGTATCTCTTTGCTTTTGTTACGGGAAATCACGTCGATATGATGGATCATCTTTTCCCCCCTCTGTTCCCTCCCCCTCGTCTTCTCCGTGCCCTTGTCTTCCACCCTGCCTTCTCTCCAATCCGCAGGACTGCTATCGCGTTCTCTTCGCCGCGTCTCACCTTCTCACAGACCCTTCCGCCACGCGAATCGCAGCAGGAAATGTCCTGGCAGGCGCAGCAGCAGGAGCCACGAGCCTCGAGCCTCCTAGTCACGTACCTACCCTCTAGACGTCGCGCGCACGCGCCTGGCCACCGATATAGGCACGCGCAGGCACTTTGCAGGCATGCGATCCGTTATAGGCACGCGCCAGCAGTTTGCAGGCTTGCGATCCGTTATAGCGGCGCTCTGGCGGGCGGAGGGCATCAGAGGCTTATATCGCGGATTTCCTGCGTCCTGGTTCATGGGATTATCGTGCATATGAGTCTGTACTCTGGCGGGTTTGATAGTGCCAAGCAGCTGCTATTGAAGGGCCACGGCGGAGCAGCAGCCCTCTAGTCACGTAACTACCCTTCCGAAGTTGCGCACACGCGCTGGCCACCGATATAGGCACGCACCAGCATTGCAGGCGTGGGATTATCGTGCGTAGGAGTCTGTACTCTGGCAGGTTTGATAGTGCCAAGCAGCTGCTGTTGAAGGGTCATGGCGGAGCAGGGGGCGGAGGAGAGGGAGGAGGTGGGTGAGGGGGAAGGGGAGGGGGAGGGACCAGCGCTTGTGGGGGGAGGAACGAGTGGAGCAAACCATGGGGTGATGAGAGGAGAAAAAGAAAGGTCTGGAGAGGAGGATGGGGGTGGTAATGGGGACTGTTTGGGGCATGCGCTGTTCTGGCTGAGGTGGATGTTGGCACAGGCAGCATCGACAACAGCTAGTGTGGTGTCTTGTCCGTTTGACACCATGCAACACCGATGCGAAACCGCATGATGATGCAAGCAGAACTTGCCCAGCTGAGGAGAGGGGAAGTGGGGCGAGCAGGGCCGGCAGGAGTAGGAGTGGCTGCAGTAGAAGCAGCAGCAGGAGCAGCAGCCGGAGCAGGAGCAGGGTTAAGTGCAGTCGGGTCAGGAGGAGCAGCAGCAGGGATCGGATTAATTTCAGCCATTGGCAGGAGCAGAAGCAACTGCTGTCGTTGATTCTGCTGCTGTTGCCAGCATGGATGTTGTGCCAGCACACAACGTGCAAGCGTCTACACCAGCGGGTCAACGGAGTCAAGTGAGTCAACCACAAGGCACCCAACGTGCAAGTGCCTGCACCAGCTCCCTGTGCTCTAAGCCACTCGTTTGACAGTTACCAGCTGCAGCACGTGCAGCTGCAGAGACAACCGGGTCAACAGAGTCAACCTGGTCAACAAAGTCAACCAGCAGCATGAGGTCCAGCAGCAGCAGCAGTATTCTGGATAATATAAGCCATTTGGAAAATACTGGCAGGAAGGATGGAACCATATTACAAGGCAAAGAAAAATACATGAAGTCTTTGTATGTGTACAAGGCGACAGGTCCCACACCCTAACAGACAAATATCAAATACAAACAAATAGCTGAAGCGCTTTGCCCCATAAGCCCCGTCATGCACTCCTTGACGAGGTGAAAACCATGTCAGGTGTTCCCTCTGCTCCACTTTCGATGGGGCGTGTGCCTAAATGGGTCCCATAGGCGCTGTGCTATTCTACCAGGCTTTGTTACCGATTGGCTAGGGTAAGCGCACACTTAGTCCGCACGCAATGGGCTCTCAGGCAAGTCCGTTTCTGACTTTGATGGCCAGTTTACTGGCCAACTTGACAGCCAATTTGATGGCCAGTTTCCCATCCCCTGCACCACCACCCTTGGTGACATTTGCAAAAGCACCGCTCGCTGCACCAGCCTCGTACGTCTTGGTGTAGATGAGAGCAGAGTAAGCGTCAGGATCAGCCAGCATGGCATCTGCTAGCGACTTGTAAGTCTGCCCGTTATCCGCTGTCAAAGTACTGGCGCTTAGCCAATACCCGATCATTTCGTAGGTGTAGCCAAGGGGAAGGAGGGGCGGGGGAGGCGGCTGCTTGCCCTTCTTGCCCTTGGGATTCGGTTTGCCGGCCAGCTTGGCGCGCTCGGCATCTGAGAGCGTGCTATTGAGCCACATGGCGTCGCTGGTGTCCACGGTGAGTGCCACGTCAGCGCCTTTCTTGATGACGAAGCTGGTGGGCTCGCCAGGGTCGGTTAGATTCACGTGTACTGAGTAAGTAATGTCGTAGTCGTTCTTGTCAGCGTTTCTAAGGGGGATGGGTGGGGAGAGAGGGGCAGGGAGGGGCAGGGATGGGAGGGCAGGGAGGGGCAGGGGGGTGTTTGGCCGTGGGACTGACGGGTCAGGATGGAGAAACACGTGTTCTGAGTAAGTAATGTCGTAGTCGTTAATGTCGGCGTTTCTAAGGGGGATGGGTGGCAAGGATGGGCAAGGAGGGGTGGGACTAGCGGGTACAGAAGAAGTGAGTTGAAACGAGGTTGGGGAGAAGGAAGGAAATGATGGGGCAGCATACAGGAAGACGGTGAGGAGAGATTAAGTAAGCGAGGAGCAAACGGAGGAAAAAGAGAAGCGGTTAGTGAGAAGAGAGAAGGTGTCACGTACTGAAAGACGGAGAGGGAAATGCAGCCTGTGGCGTTGACGTCACCGCTGAGGTCAGCACTGGAGCCGTTGACTCGCGCTTCCAACACAGCTGCACGAAATCGAGCAATCACGGAAAGAAAAGATTGCTTATGAGAAGGGAAAATGCTTCAGAAGAGGAGATTAGGGCGTGTAAAATCGGCAGCGTTAATTTTTGGGCCCCAAAGCGTCGGGCCGAATTTGCGAAAGTAACCCTAAAGCGAATCTCTGCGAGTTTCGACAATTTCGCCAAAGAAAATACAATTTGATGGCCGGGTAAAAAGTCGACCAATTGGTCGTCGTAGTGTCGACTAAAAAACGGCCACGCATCCGTCGCGTCGTTGCGACAGCGTCGCAACGTGTCGTAACGAGTCGCAAACCGCCTGCGACAGCGTTGCGACAGCCTGTGTCATGTGCGCGACTACGTCGCACAATTCGGCCACCCCAAATTTTACAACTTCTCCGAAGTGGCCTGCAAATCGGCCACCAAAGTTGTAAAATCGCCAAAACTGTAATTGGTGGCTGTAATAGAGTCGACTCTGATTCGGCCACCTCGTCGTTGTTCGCGAAAAATATGACGACCATTTGGTCGTCGGAAATTCGGCCACACCCCGTTTTTGGAATTGTGCGGGGATTTTACACGCCCTTAGGGTCTCCCCTGAACGGAGCCGCTGAGGCGCTCTGCCATGGCACAGTGAGAACGGGAGGGGGCACGGACGGTGAGAACGGGAGGGGGCACGGTGAGTGGTTGATTTCCAAGCAAGTATAAACGGTGGGAGAGGCAAGAGTGGGGAAGGCAAGAGCGGGCGAGGCAAGAGCACGTGAGGCATTAGTGGGGGAGGTAACAGTGGGGGGGGCAAGAGAGTCGGAGAAGGCTAGGAGGGGAAAGACCTTAGAATCCACTTCTTATGCGCTTACCGATAGGAGCGCCGAAAGAATCCCCTCCATCCTTCCCTCCATCCTTCCCTCCATCCTTCCCTCCATCCTTCCCTCCATCCTTCCCTCCATCCTTCCCTCCATCCTTCCCTCCATCCTTCCCTCCATTCTTCCCTCCATTCTTCCCTCCATTCTTCCCTCCATTCTTCCCTCCATCCTTCCCGCCCTTCTTGTCCTTAGGCGGCGGCTGAAGCGGGTCCGACTGAAACTGCCCCCGCGCCGCACCCGACTCATAAGCAGCCGTCGCGAATGACGCGTAGTAACCATCCGGCTTCGCTATAATCGCATCCACCAGCTCCTTTCGTGTCTGCACGCCGAACGTGGTCAGTGTACTCGCTTTAAGCCACGTCCCGTTAGTGCCATAAGTGTATTTCGGAGGAGGCGGAGGGGGCGGTGTGCCCTTGTTCTTTTTGCTCTTGGGCGAGGGAGGTGGCGGACGAGTAAGATTCGCCCACGTGGCGCTTGCTCCCGCCTCGGCAATATCGGCGACGGCAGTTCCCGCTTCTCCCGACGCGCCTAGCCGGATCGAAGTGGCGGCCGGCTCGCCGGAGTCGGAGGTGGAGACGACGACACTGTAGAAGACGTTGTAGTCGTCGTCTAGCCTGACGAAATCCGACAGGATTCACGCAAGCGAGCGCGGGAGGAATGGATTGCGCATTGCTCTTAGAGAGATGAAGCAATTTCGAGATGACGATGTCGAGCAGGCGAGCAGGTGACGTATCTTGAGTTATGCGAGCACTTAAGAAAACTGGAAACAGCAGTTGAATTAAAAACAGCACAGAGGTCCACAAAGCGGTTGGCATACTCGAAGACGGCGAGGCAGATTCGCCCGGTCGCGTTGACGTCGCCCGTGGCGCCAACCACTTCGGATCCGTTCAGCCGCGCGGCGAGAATCGCTGCGCGGATACGCCGAGAGGGAGAGAGGAGAGGAGGGCAACAGAGAGCTTCGTTCGAAAAACCGTTCTTCCAGGATCGGCTCTGCAGTAACGCGCCGATCCTGAAATGCACACGTCACTCGTACGGCCAACACGAGCCTATCACTCGTCAGGTTCAATGCTCTCACCCACAGATGGGTAACCTGGGGGTAAGCGTTTCCCTGGGGGATTCTCCATAGAACTCTCACCCGTCAGGTTCCCGAGAGCCTGAGCGTCGTTCGGCTTGGGTAGCGGGCACGGACCAGCATCCGGGGGTCCCCCTTTCCCGCCATTTTTGTCCTTCACAGGGCGCGCCGTCGCGATCGCTGCGCAGCAGATGGAAGAAAATGTACAAATGAAATACAGTCGGACGCATAGAACAGATGGAGTAAAGCTTACGATATGTCAAATGAGAGACAGTTGTCCTGGACGCATGGAAAATTATGCATCTTGGGGAGATTGAATCAAAGGAAAATTATGCATCTTGGTTGATATCGACTGTGGCCTTTGGTGGATATTTAAGAACACTCACCGATGGATGCGGTGACGAATAAGAGAAAAAATGGCAAGCCAAGGTAACGGAGGAGCCCCATAGCAGACCTATTCCCGTAGCTAGAATAGAATCCTTAGGGAGCAGAGAACAAGAACTGCGCTTGTAGAAAGAGTGAATGAACTGAATGCTTGATCCCAGCCGAGAGTGATTCCTGAATGTAGAGAGTGATTCCTGTCACCATCCGAGTGCTTTTTATCCCTGGCAAGGAAAGCTGAAGTGGAGGTGGCATAAGCGGGGATTACAGAACCTTTCAGTACGGTAAGACTCGTCAAACAATGGTACGTCTCAGTCTTGGAAACTGTTGTAGGAATATCGCGTGTTGATCTTTGCGCGCTCTGGAAAGTAAGGAAATTTTGTTGCTTGTGCTCATCTATGTGCGCTCCGCAGGCGGAAAAACACCTGGCGGGAAAGGAGTGCGTGACATTGAGGGCGCGGTTACGGGCAATGAAATACTTCCCTGTGTGTCTTGCCTAGATGTTGTTTGTAAATACCAGCGGGAAATATTCGGAAGGCGGGAGAGAGGGAGCTATTTTCTCGATCATCCCGTCCTCAACACTGAGAACAACAACACTTCTGAATCTGAAATTTTCGAATTGTACGGGGAACCAGGTCGAAGCATCAATCCGACACGAGAAATAGGGTGGATGAATTGCCGCAGAGTACGGAAACCAATCACCGTCTAAAATGGAGACATTCAGGTGACAACTCGTGTCGGCTTTTCTCACGATGGGATGTGCCGTGACCTGGCCCGCGGCATGCGCAAGAACCTTGGTCAAACACTTTCCTGTCAGTTGTAGGCGCAGGTGGTGCAACAGGGAAAACAAAGGGGGAATGGAGAAGTTTTCAATTAGAGTATGCCGCGATTCGTCTTACAAGTGCAATGGAACGAGCAGAACAAAGATTCTACTAAGAGGAAAATATAGTGTGATCTAACACATAGTAAACACAAAGGTAAGAGGGAGGAAAAAAAAACACCAAAGGACACACACGCGCGTTGATTGTGGGGTTAAAGAGGGGTTTCCGTGGGATCAGGTTGGTTGTGGCTGCCAAGGTGTGGAAAAGCAGCAGCCCAAGGGGCAAGAAATGAAGAGGAAGACATACGGTAGGGTTCAGAGAGAATGAGCAGAGGCACTCATGGGGTGATTCAGGCCTTGGGCTGAGGCTTGGCCTGGGTTACGGTTTGGGCCATCAGAGGTAACCTCATCGATCGGTGCAGGTGCAGTGGAGCACGTGGGTGTGGGTGTGGTGAAGCACGTGGGCGCGGGCGGGTGCAGTGAAACACATGGGCCAGGTGCGGTTAAGCTCAAGGGTGCAGGTGGGCAAACCAAAACACCAAGTGATCAACCCCTTTTGGCCACCGATAAATATCATTGGGCGTTTTCATTAAGTTTCCTGGCTAGCGTGATACGGTGCACATCAGTTCAAGTACTAGTGATGTTACCAGCGGTGGTAGGTGTTTTCAAATGCCGGTAAGTGTTGGTGGGAGTTTTTGTAAGTGCTGGAAGGAGGGCCTTGTGGGCTGTGGGTGTAACAAGGGAAACTGTTTGTGAGTGATGGCTCCTTTGTGTATATTCCGCCGCGGAGAAAAATATGTTAAATGATGATGAGCGTCGGTAACATAACATGCACTAACAAGGCAACAAGCCAGCACCATCTATGTCTACAACAAGTATTAAAACAAGCCATTTTACAAAGGCCACACGGGTACCATACCCTTGCTCCCATCAAGTATCGTAGATGATTCCCGTGTGGTGGTGCTAGACGAGCTTGAGTAGGGTAAGAATACACTTCCTACCAGGTCTTCATAGCCTACTGGCAAGGGTAAAAATACACCTCGTACCAGGTCTTCATAGCCTACTGGCAAGGGTAAAAATACACCTCGTACCAGGTCGTCATGGCCTACTGGCAGGGGTAAGGGTAGAATACACTTCGTCCGTGCCTGATGGGCTCTCAGGCAAGTCCGAATCTGGCTTTAATGCCCAATTTGACGCCCAATTTGACGCTCAATTTGACGCCCAGTTTGCCAGACCGATCACCACCATCCATGGTGACATTCGCGAAAGCACCGCTCGCTACACCGTTCTCGTACGTCTTGGTGTAGATGAGAGCAGAGTAAGCGTCAGGAGCAGCCAGCATGGCGTCCGCCAGTTGCTTGTAAGTCTGCCCGTTATCCGCCTTCAAAATAGTGGCACTTAGCCAAGAGCCGGTGGTTTCGTAGTTGTAGCCGAGGGGAGGGGGAGGGGGAGGCGGCTGCTTGCCCTTCTTGTTCTTGGGAGACAGTTTGCCGCCCAGCTTGGCGCGCTCGGCATCTGAGAGCGTGCGATTGGTCCACTTGGCGTCGCTGGGGGTCACGGTGAGTGCCACGTCAGCGCCATTCTTGATGACGACACCAGTGGGCTCGCCAGAGTCATTCAGATTGACGCGGACATGGTAATAAATGTCGTAGTCGTTGGTCGTGGCGTTTCTGAGAGAGGAAGTGGCAGGGAGGGGCAGGGCAGGGCACGATATGGCGGGTTGGGGGGGGGGGGGGGGGAGGGTGTTTGGATATGGACTGTTGAGTAGAGAGGAAGCTGACAAAATGCGATTGAGGAAATGAGGATAAATAAAACGCGAGTAGTGAGAAGAGAGAAGGAGAGGCTTACAGGAAGATGGCGAGGTCAACGCAGCCCGTGGCGTTGACGTCAGCGTGGAGGTCAACGTTAGAGCCGTTGACACGCGCTGCGACCGCACCTGCGCGAAATCGCGCAAATCACGGTAAAAAAAATAACGCTTGTGAAAAGGATCAGAGAAGATCAATTGGAGCTGTTGAGACGCGCTGCCACTGCATCGTGAGACCCGGAGAAATCACGGCGGTTGGTTGATTTCTAAGCATAGGCGAGGCGAGAACGGGCAGACAAGAGATGGCGAGGCAGGAGTGAGCGAGGCAGGAGTGGGCGAGGCAGGAGTGGGCGAGGCAGGAGAGACGGAGAAGACTTCCTTCCCGCCAAAGGCGCTTACCGACGAGAGTGCCGAACCGATCACCATCAGTCTTGCCTCCGCCATTCTTCCCACCGCCATTCTTCCCACCACCATTCTTCCCTCCGTCCTTCCCGCCCTTTTTGTCCTTAGGAGGCGGCGGAAGCGGGTCCGACGTAAACTGGCCCCGCGCCGCACCCGACTCATAAGCAGCCGTCACGAATGATGCGTAGTAACCATCCGGCGTCGCGATAACCGCATCCACCAGCTCCTTTAGTGTCTGCGAGCCGAACGTAGTCAGCGTACTCGCTTTAAGCCACGTCCCGTTAGTGGCATAAGTGTACTTCGGAGGAGGCGGAGGTGGAGGTGTGCCTTTGTTCTTTTTGCTCTTGGGCGGGGGAGGTGGCGGACGAGTAAGATTCGCCCACGTGGCGCTTTCTCCCGCCTCGGCAATATCGGCGACGGCAGTTCCCGCTTCTCCCGCCGCGCCTTGCCAGATCGAAGAGGCGGACGGCTCGCCGGCGTCGGAGGTGGACACGACGACACTGAAAAAGACGTTGTAGTCGCCGTCTAGCCTGACGGTTTCCGTCAGGATTCACGCAAGCGAGGGGAAGGGAGGAATGGAATGCGCATTGCTCTTAGAGAGATGAAGCAATTTCGTGATGACGATGTCGAGCAGACGAGCAGGTGACGTACCTTGAGTTTTTTTCAAGTAATTCAGCACAGATGACCGGTGGCTTACTGGAAGACGGCGAGGCAGACTCGCCCGGTGGCGTTGACGTCGCCCGTCGACCCAACCACGTTGGATCCGTTCAGCCGCGCGGCGAGAATCGCTGCGCGGAGGCGCAGAGGGGAGGGAAGCAGGGGAGCGAAGTGTGTCACACACGGTTGGAGAAGTCACGAAGGGCAGCGAGGACAGAGGAGCGCGGATGAAGGAAGAGGAGGATAGCGAAGAGGCGAGAAGAGAGAAGAAATTGATTCGTTCGTGAAGGCCGTACTAATCTCGTCAATCCGAGTTTTGACTCACACGTGAATCCTCGAAAGGACATACCATACGGCCCGCCAAGCAAACTAAGTTCCCGAAATCACATCTCCCGTTAGATTCCCTGGAGAAATCTCACCCGTCAGATTTCCGAGAGTCTGAGCGTCATTTGGCTTGGGCAGCGGGCACGGGCCTGCATCCGGAGGTCCACCCTTTCCGTCGTTCTTGCCATTCTTGTCATTGACAGGGCGCGCTGTCGTGATTGCTGCGCATCGGATGGAAGAAAGAACACAGATGGGATAAGGCTTGTATTTGACGCGCTGAAAAGAGAGACATCTCGCTGAGATTGATTCACGGGATTCTACGGCCGATTTCACAGGTAGCAGAGGTGAATATTCGATAAAACTCACCGATGGATGCTGTGACGACTAAGAGAATGATTGACAAGCTGAGGTAACGGTGGAGCTCCATAGTGTGCGAATTCCCGTAGCTGCTGATTGTATTCCTAGCTAGAGATTGGAGAACAAGGATTTTGGCTGCGTGTTCACGTGGCAAATGATGAAGATGCCTGTATGGTTTAGCAGGAGTGGGCTTTATCCCCTCTAATGAAAGCTGAGTGACGTGGTGGTGGTCGCACAAACCTGTCAATACGGTTCCGAACCAATAAACTACAGTATAGAACGATACACCTCGGTTTCTTGATATGTCCTCGTGGAGTATGGCTTTGAACATGCGCTCTGGGAAAATAGGGGAATGCGTTGCGACTGATCGACGCATTTGGCGGGGTTGCCTGGCGGGAAAGGGAGACTGCAATTGTGTATGTTGGTTCAGGGTACGGGCAGCAACATAAACATTCGTGCAATTCTTGCCTATGTTATTCCTGCAAACACCAGCACTAAGAGGGTCTGGCTGAGTTCTCGCCCACCCCACCTTCGCCAGTGTTTCTCGTCTGAGTTCTGAATTTTGACGAAAGAAATACACCCGGAGACTTTGAATCGTTCGGGCAACCTAGTTGAAACATCATTCTCCTCCTGCCCCACTCCGCAGAGATGGTGGAAGTCGCCGTAGAGAACGGAAACCAATCACGGAATGGAAACATTCAGGTGAAAGCCTGTGGCGTGGCAGCTTTCCCCAGGGTTTTTGTGCTCCCCCCGCCACACGCGCAAAAAGCACAGGTGGCGCAGAAGTTTCCTTTAGGGCGAACGCTTACAGTTCACCGATACGAACACAACACGAAATCAGCAACAACGGCCATCTTTATCCCACATTTGAACAACTTTTGTGCTCAAGAAGTACAGGTGATTAGCCAAGTGCCGGTCGTTTCATAGTGCCGCTTAGGTTTTCTGGTTAACGTAAATTGGTGCGACACAACAAGGCAGTAGTGATGTTTGTGTCGGAATGAACTTTGTAGGAGCGCCATGAGTGACGAGAGAGCTAGAGCACCTAGACGAAATTTGGACAAAGAAAGACGTATTTCACTAAAGAAGCTAGAGAACAAGGAGAAAAGAGAGAAACAAACAAGGTACAGAAAACAAGAAATACAAGAAATGGTACCAGTGGAGGAAAGAGAAAAAGATGTTACGAATAGTAACATTTGATATTACTGTGCACTCCTCACCGCAGCAAAGAGAAGCACGCAGTAACGGGAACGAACGCGAAACGTCAGACGGTTGGAATTTACTCAAAGCGACGGACAGTTGGAACGCATCTGGACCGTCGGAAGCAGACGGCATCGGGCAGCTGCAGGCAGGATGGTTTTGGCGGGAACAGTTACGAAACTGTACGCGCCGCACGGTTGGGAGTGAATTTGAATAAGGAAATGTACCCCTTAGAGTACATGGCTAGATAGGTCGTTTCGTGTTCCCTTGTTCTCATATTTATAGTCTCTGTTTTGCATGTTTTAATCATCTCAAGCATTTACATTCACTCTGCTATTGAGGTCAAGGGCCCACCAACTATTTCACTGCGTGCGAACCTTCCTGGGTAGATCCTGGGCTACGATCAATTTCTGATCGCAGCATGGTATGAGAGCGGCTCAGGAATCCTTCGCACTGCCACTCCCGAAAATTGCGACATTCGGAAAGTGGCGTCCGGCACACGCTCACGAGTGAAGATGGCCGGAGGATCTGGTGGTCAGACTAATCTGACGGCTGAAGCGCAACCCAACCCGGCTGCGACAAGCGAGAACACGACGACAGTCAACTTCGAAGTTCTCGCACAACTTCTTCAGCGACTCACCAGCTTGGAGCAAGGGCTCCAAACATTGCGGAATGGCGATGCGGGAACATCCTCGCAACCCTTTCAACCGGCCCCGACTGGCTAGAACACCACTCCGCAAACTTTCTCCCTCGACACCAATGGCTCAACCCCCAAGACTCCCCGTCCCAGTGAAGAGGCAATTCTCTCCGCTCAATCAAGGTTTCTCAGCATATCAAAAATAAAGACAAGTACCTGTTTTGACGGCAGAGACTTTTACACCTGGAGCTTCGAGCTGGAGCTCCTGCTTCAGAACGCCCAGATCTTCCACTATTTCGACGGGAGTTACGCGGAGCCTGCTGAGGACACCGACGACGCCAAGGCGCGGTATTACAACGAGTCGCTGATGGCGTATGGGGTGCTCCTGCGCAATATGTCGCCGGCGGAGCAGCTGAACATCCGTTCGTACAAAACGACAGCTGCTCCAGCCCTCAACGCCTGGCGGCACCTGACAGGAGTCTATCAGCCCAAGGACTCTGTCTCTTCGAGCCGACTACTCCAGGAACTCCTGGAAACTAAGATGACCGCAGGGGAGAAGGTCAACAACTACCTTAATCGCTGTCGGAGCCTTCGCGACCAAATCGTGAAGCTAGGAAGCACAATCTCAGAGGAGATCTTCGTCAGCATATTGCTTCAAGGGCTTGGCCCAGAGTGGCGGCCCTGCAAGGCGTCACTCCGACAGCAGGGGGTCATCTCGGAGGCCGCCCTTTGCGCCGCCCTTCTCGTCGAACAAAGGGATATGGACCAGCAGCGACCAGCGCCGCGACGAGAACGCGAACGGCTCGCCTTCTACGCCGACAACACTGAAGAGCGAAAGCCACGGCGCCTCTACTGCAAGATCTGCAGAAATTTCGGGCACCTGGCGGATCGATGCAAGAACCGATCCCGCCCTCGCCAGACCAATCCGAGCACCTGGTCCGGCCGTCAAGATGCACGAGGCGACGTGCGTCCTGCCCAGGGGTATCAACCCCCTCCCGCGCGCAACCTGAACCCAGCGGTTCAGCATCAGCAGCAGCAGCCGTCACCGACTGCCCCAACCCGCAATGTCATGAGCAACATGGCCATGACAGGCGAATCGCGTCGTCGCCGTGTCCGCTCGCCTTCACCTGAGCCGGCACCGCACCCAATTGGCGCGTTCACCAACAACAACCCGTTTAGTCCGCGCCGCGACTTCACCGACGACGACGATCAGGACTGGAACCTTCCAGTCCCGCTGCTTGAAAGTCCCCCGCACGTACCTGATATGCGGGTGGCGCCACTCGATTGGCTCACGCGCGAACAATTTTTGAAGTTCGACACTCCGCACATCGTCACGCCGCGACTGGCGCTGCTCGCACGTGACGACAACAAGCGCTACAACACCTGGTACCTGGACAGCTGCTGCGGCCAGCATATGGTGGGGTCGGAGCGTTACATATCCAACGCCGTCGCCACCCCTACCGTCACTTACGTCACTGTGGCGAACAACACGCGCCTGCGCGCAAGCGCGCAAGGCATCGTCGTGCTCAAAGCACGCGGAAGCCGCACGCACATCACACTTAACGATGTGCTGATCGTCCAGAACCTGCGCTTCAACCTCCTGTCCGCCGCACAACTCATGGATTGCGGCGTCGACCTCAGCACGGACCGCGAGACGCGGGACATCCTGCTGCACTACGAAGCGCGCAACTTCCCCCGCAGGCAGATCGGACGAGCACACTCCGAAAATGGAGTGTACGTCCTGGATTTCGACATCCCCGACTGCAGCGGCGATTCGCACGAGTTAATCGACCTCGTGCCACTACGCTTCGAGCACATCCACCGCAGGGATTGGAAGCACCCTGACGGAAGACCGTGGGTGCCGCATCATCCCCACCCACGCGAAACGGCGCTGCACAACCCCAATCCTGACGGGATCTGCAGGGACTGCCACACGCCGACGACATCAACGAGCGCGATCGCCGGACTCGCCGATTGCGGAAGCAGAACGACACGCGCCACCAGAAGAAGGGATGTCGCAGCTCGAGCTTGAAGTAACCACCCACGCCGTCTTCGGCACGGCAGAACATCCTCTCGTTGGCCCCCCCTCACAACACCTTCAAGGAACGTTGCGCGGAACTGGGATCGGCACCTTCGACGCCCATGGCGAGCCGCGACCCTACACCCGCGAGAAGTTTCTGGAAATCTATTCCCACCACCGCGACTCGTCGAAGAAACTCACCGTGGAACAAGAGGAGGAACTGGCGCGCCGCGAAGCTGAGGAGCTTCGTCAGCAAAGTCTCGCGAAAGCCCGCGGGACCTTCGCTTGCGCCGCCTGGGGAGCCGAGGAGGAAGAAAGTGCCTCCAATGAAGGGGGGTGGGGGAGCGCTGGAGGATGGGGAACCAGTGATACTGGCGGATGGGGCGACACTGGCGGAACCTGGGCCAACGCGAGCGGAGGATGGGGCGCCGTACCTACCGCCGCAGACAGCGGCTGGGGCACTTCCCGCGAAGAACGAAGGGGGGGAGAGGACATTCGCGAAGAAATTGAAGCAGCACCTGCAGTCGTTCCTCTCGGTCGTCCCCCGCGCCACATCCCGCTCGCACCACCCCCTGCAGACATTCCCCCGCGTCGCGACCCTTGGGACACCATCATCTGGGGCAACGAGCCGTCAACTCCCCGTCGCACCGTCTACGGACCTGCCCCCGAGCCGCGCCAACCTACCTTAGTCCTTGGAACTGTCCCTGGGACCAACATCCCGCTCTCTGAAATTCGCGACAGAGAGTTCTTGGCGCTAATGCTGACTACCGCGGCAAAAGAAGAGGAAGTCGAAGAAGTAGCAGCAGAACCTGCTCCTGTACCTGACGAAGACCCTGAAGAAGCGCGCGCGCGCTATATGCGCACCTCCGGCTTTCGCGCTGACGATGCCCTCTGGCATCAGCGCCTCGGACACCCTTCCCGCGCGACGCTGAAAAACTGCATCGACGCAGGCGTCTTCGCTCCTGGCGCACTCCTGCGCCCTGATGGCTCCGAAGTGAGCGGTGCGACACATCCGCGCAACTGCACCGTCTGCCCCGAAGCTGCGCTGAGTCACCAACCGTTCCCGCTGCTCGAACCTGGAACCAACCGCTACCCCAAGCTGCACAAGGTGTACAGCGATTTCCTGAACGTGGGGCATTGCGGAGTCGAGGATGAGCTATACACGCTCACCTTCATTGACGCTGGAACGCGCTATGTGTGGGTCGTAAATGTGGAGTCGCGCGACAGAGCCTACGAGGTATTTCGCCTCTGGCTGCCGCACGCGGAGCGGCAATCGGAGAAGAAGCTCAAGATCTGGCAGTCCGACGGCGCGGCAGAATTCAGGAGCAACCAGATGCAGACGTTCCTGACGCAAAAGGGGATCGAGCATCACATCTCTCTCCCCTACGCGCACCAGCAGCAGGGCGTAGCTGAGCGGACGAATCGCACGCTGATGACAAAGGTGCGCGCGCTGATGAAGCAGTCGAAATTGCCGCCGATCTACTGGACTTACGCGATGCATCACGCCGTGCGGGTGCACAAC